TATATCTGTAATATCATTGACCGATTTCACAAATATTTATTTATTTTTTGTTAAATATGAAAGAATTAAAAAAAGTTATTTGAAGTCTTTTAAATAATCTGATATATATAATATTAATATATATTTTTATTGCTTATATATTTTATTTTTAATTTGTTTTTTATTTTTATATATTTTCTAACTCTTTGTTACAGAGTATAATGTATATAATTAAATATAAATATATAATTATTTATTTATTATTTATTTAATTTATATCTAGTCAAAATGTTTCGATATTTTAGGAAAATCTTAGACTACAAATGCATAGATATTTTTTATACTGAAAATCATACTCTCTTTTTTTCAGCACACTCAACTCGTCGTCTCTCGCCCTTCGCTTATAGGGCATTATCTGGTCAATTTCTATTGTCTTACTCATTATTTTTGCGGTCCTGAAGCTCAAAAGTTGCATAGTCTGCAAGTTGCTGCCATTGACAGGCATTGTAACCGCAGCTTTCTTCTCGTCTGTGGCCAGTTTTCTCACAATTTTCCACACAGTTTTCGGCAAACTAAAATAGATGTTGGCCACGTCAAATGATTGCGGTTGCTGACCAAATTGTTGGGCTTCTTATGAAAACTTATTAAATTTTAATGTGCGTTTTGAGAATTTTCATTTTCATTTTCGTTTTCGTTTTATTCTTAGCTTAGTTTTTGCATAAATAAAATGAGATTTATGAATTATTGCTATGAGTGGATGTGGCTAAGCGGCTGAATAAGTTCTCAACGTGACTGTGGGAATTTTTTTGGAAAGCATTGCTCAAGATATTTTAGTTTATTTTTATATTTTATATTGTAATCGTATAATTTTAATTTATTTCTAAGTTTTCTGTGAAGAGATGAGATATCTTAGAAGCGTTGTCCTTATAAAGTTCATATTATATTTTGGCAATTTACTTAATTTATTCAGCTTAATTAATAATATTTGTTATTAATTGCTCTGCTAGTTGGCATACACCTGCCGTTGCCCATTAACTATTTTTAATCTGGACTGGTCGCGGCTGCTGTGGGGCATATATGTTGATTCTATTAAATCGTAATCTGCGCAACAGCTAATTTCGATTCATGAAATCCAACAGATGCGCACAATTTGTTGCCTACCCTCGTAATCGCTAATGAACTCTTGGCGTGTGAAAGATATCTAAACAAAAGCCGTCAGGAAACTGTGCCTGTGTCTGTGTGTGTGGGTCTATCTATATCTACCTTTCAGCAGAGCTGCCAGACCTGGACTTGGTCCGAGCACAATTCAATTATTATTTTATAATTAATATTTTGCACATTAGAAACGCATCAACAGCAGCTGGAGGCCAGGGCCCAGTCATGGGCTCAACACACGCCATCAGCAAGGACGACAACCAGAATGTGAGCAGCAGCATCAGTAGCTGGAAAACTCGTGCTGCCATGTTGCGTGTGATATACAACCAAAAAGAAATGAGAAGAAAAATTAGGCAAACGTTTTTTCTTCTTTTTTTTTTGAAAGATGGAACGAAACAGGCAAAACAATTAATAAGAGTGAGCGGCATACTTAAGAGGGTGTCAAAAGGAAATATTATACTTAGCACGAATCATGATACACATGAAAATGACGTAGAATATGTACTGAGAGATAATTTCTTCATATTTTATTAAGATTATACGAGGTCTGTTTAGAACACAAGAGTAAAATTGAAGCGGATCAAATTGATATTTTAATAAATATTTTAATATTTATTTTTAGACTACGATATGAGCAACAACTCATTCAATACCTAAATTTTTTGTCTAACCTAAAGCAATACCTTCATAGTGCTTTCACTATAATTTTACCCTGTTCGACATTATACTCAATTCTTGCCTTGACTGAAGCTTATTTTATAAACATTTTTACCTTTTAGTTTTCCACTCAACGCTTTTCTGCTCTGGCCTGAAATCAAATTAAAAGTCAATCTTGCATGTAATTATGGCTTTTAGCAGCTGCTTTCACAGCCTGCATGATTGATATGCATGCACGCATGCCTGTGCTCATATGACATGCTCAGGACTCAGGACTCAGGATAATGGAGGGATAACAAAAACATTTTTAGCATTCTGTCAGCTTTTATGCAAATTGTCAGTGGCTGCATTTAAAACTCAATTAAAAGTTAAATATTTACTCGATACCCTAAGATTAATAACTTTTTAAAGAGCCCGAAGTGGGCGAAGACGGATGACAAAGGCAAGCGAAGGTGGTTTAATTATGGAATAGAAAATACCCTGTAACTTAATTGAGGGTTTTGAAATTTAAATTGAATTAAGTTTTTGCATTTTGCATACAAAAAAAAAAAAAAAAAAACAAAAAATAAATATAGAAAAAAAGAAAAATAATAAAACAATAAAAAATATATATTTAAAAAAATGCTCATTAATAATATAATCAAAGTGTACAGTAAAGATTATATTATAATTTATATATTTTATATAATATTAAATTTTAAATTTTAAATTAAATTTTAGCCTTCATTAATTTGAAATCATATTTAAAGCCGGAATGATTGATAGCTTCACTAAAAGCTACCCTTTATTTAGCTTTAAAGTCGACAAACGTCATTTTAGTAGTTGCTCGACTCTATGATACCCTGCAACTTGAGGAAATATCAAGCCAAATCATCGATGCGAACTACTTCTTTTTTAGCAAGTTTAGATTTTAGCACAATATGAATTGATAAGAATTCACATTCAAATTGTAAAACTCCCTTTAACACATTTCCCTTAGCTACAGGGTATATCAAAAATAGATAAAGCTCGTTAAATGTGTAGGCGTGACAGAGCGACTACGCTGAGACGTGGCACACTTTCTATATATGTGTAGCACAAAAGTGTTGCTGCCACACGCACACACACACACACGCACACATATCTGAGATATATATATATCTTCTCTTTATATATATATACATATATAATTATTCCTCAGCTAGCACTTGCCGCAACTCCCAGATGTCTACTTAATTATATTGTCGTAACTTTAAATGTCATTTTGCCATTGTGTGTGTGTGTGTGTTGGACATGAGAGATAGCTGTTAGAAGAAGGACCAGGCAATTGCAGAGACAAATCAGTGGACGTACGTGGTCGCCGTCTAAACAACAGCATTGAGATTCATGTAGCAGAGTTACCACCCCTGGTCTGACTGTGGCCTAATCCCGGTCTGCTCTTTCATCTTTAGCATGGGACAGAGGGCTGGCTGGTCGGCTGGCTGACTGGAGGGGTCAAGAAACTTAAAATCACAACCAGGCACTCTGTTTCATGACATTTGCCAGCTTCCGTTTCCGCTTGCCACGCCTGCCTTCCTCCCACTGTGTTTAGTCGTAAATATGTTGAGCATATAACTCATCTGGGCAGATAATGCAGCAAAGCTCTAAACTATGACGAGGCGAGCTGCGAGTCGAGCTGCGAGTCGAGCGCTCAAGTTGAGGCTTTCAAATCGCATTATTATTTCGCTCATGCCCATTATTTTGTTTTGTTTTTTTTTTTTTTGCCTCTCAGCGACAGCAGCAATTGAATGAGGAATACAGAAAATAAAAACCCATCGAACCAGTTTTCAGTTGGGGATCGCATGCGATAAGAGACGTCGGCTATGAAATAATGAAATATATAGACGATTATCATTTTACATAAACGCATATCAAATCAGCTGTAAATGACGAATAAGTTACAACGGTTGGCTAAGATAGAAAACTTGATGCGCATCTTGAACGATGCTAGAGTTCTAATGGGCATATCAAATATTGTGAGCGCTAAGCGATTTACATATAATTTCAGTAATATTTATTGCTTTAATATTGTTTTTTGGTATACAATAATTTTATATGTATTATCTTTGTAATTTGTTGGAAGACAAAATGTATATTAAATGTATTGGCTCTATATAAACATATCTAAATATATATATAAATGAGTATAGATTAATTGTTTTATCATTTCAAATTATGTAAAAATGCATGTATTATATCTTTATATAATTTCTATAAAATGTTTTAAAACTTTTTGTTCATTAATTAATTTAAAATCTTTATGTTATATTCACAATTTTAAAATATTTAAATTATTTCTATGTCCAAACTATATAATTATTATTATTATATTACATAATTATTTCAATTTAACAAAATTTATATTTTAAATTTTGGATTTAAATAAATACTTTTAAACTAATTTTTTATTTTATTTTTTAATTTTTTTATATAACACTTAGTTTTTATTTTAATTTTTGTGTTTTAATAATCAATCAATAGCAATACAAAATCATGGTATAAAAAATTATACATACTTAATAATTATTATAAAATAAAAATATAAAATAAATTTAAAAAAAATTTTATACCATTTTTCCTATTTCAAAATTTAAAACTCTTAAATATAAAATTAAAAAATAATTAGCATATTTTGTAAGTCTTTACTTTTAATTTTTTTAATGTTTTTTATTTTAAAAATAAATAAATTGAAAGTATTAGTGTTATATATATAACTATTCACTTTAGTAAATAGACAAAAAGCAGAAACATTTATACGAACGAATTGAATACATAACCATAGTAAAAGTTTGTATGCAATGAGATATCTACATCCCTAGATAATCAAAGTCCGCTTCAATGTAGCGTATTCAGCAGTCTCTGTGACTTAATCCTGCAATTGAATAATGTCGCGATTTATATTTGGTATTTTTTTGTAGTTCTGAGGAACGTGATTCGAATGCTAAATGAAAATTCTCTATAATCTATCTAAATATATATAAATGTTTATAGTCTTAACTGGCCACTGGCTGATCGTGAGCAGCGCAAAAAAGTAGAGAAAAAATAAATAAAACAAACAAACGAACTCTTTAAGTTTTATCAACGTATTGTTGTTGTTGTTGTCGCAAGTGAATAATTATTTTATCGCCAAGCCGGGCTAGTTGCCGGCCTTGTCAAGAGTCGCTGAGCTTGGAGAGCTAGAGCGGCCGCAGCGCTTGCACAGTTTCAAGTTGACAATCGAGCGAAACGCAATGCGAAAGTTGGCGAAGCGGAACATTTTGTGGCTGCTGCTGCTGCTGCACTTAGTTGCAGCAGCGTTAACCTTGACTGGGTCGGAATCGGAGTTGGAGCCAGACTCAGAGTCAGTTTCACATCGTCGCGTGAAGCGCATTGTAGGTGGCAAGAGTGCCAAGCCGCCGCCAGTGGATGATCCGGTTGTGTTTGCACGGCTCTTCAATCGAGATACACGCATCGAGGGCTTCCGGAACACCCGAACGGGCATCTACAGCTTTCTGGGCATGCACTATGCGGAGCCCCCGATTGGGCAGCTGCGCTACTCGCGGCCCGTCTATAAGCGGCTCAGTGGGGATATAAATGCCACGCGGCATGGCCCGCCCTGCTTACAGCCGCATCCGCAGCAACGGCAGCGTATCATCGGCGAGGAGAATTGCCTGTTGTTGAATGTGTACACGCCCCAGATGCCGGACGAGACGACGGGATTGCCCGTGTTTGTGTGGATACATCCAGGTGGCTTTCGCTTCGGCTCTGCGGCTCAATACGATGCCACGCCCATGGCCCAGCAGGGGGCGATTGTTGTGGCACCGCAATACCGTCTCGGCTCGCTGGGCATCCTCGGGGACGGCACCAAGGAGTTCGATGGCAATCTGGCCATGTTCGATCTGGCCACAGCTCTGCGCTGGGTGAACGACTATATCTCACAGTTTGGCGGCGATCCCAAGAGGGTGCAGGCGATTGGTCACGGCTCAGGTGCTGCCAGCGCCATGTACCTGTCCATGTCGCGCGCTGCTCGCAGCGCAGGCGAGGTTCACGGCGTGGTGGCCATGTCGGGCACTGCACTCTCGCAATATGCCATGGACAAGGAGCCGGTGCAGAGTGTCGAGGAGGTGGCCAAGATTAACAACTGTCCCACTGGCAATGAGCTGGAAATTGTCAAATGTATGCGAGCGGTAAGTAGTGCAGTTGGGCTAGAGCTAGTTATGCTAGAGGCTTTCATTTATTTCGCTTGAATTTCTTCAAAATTATTTGCTTGGTTGCCACAAAGGTGTTAACGGCTTGGCTTGTAGTTAGCATTTGTTTGTAGATGTTTTAGAAACTGTTTTAAATTTATAATAATTCATTTTATAATAGAATTTGTTACAAATTAACATTCTATGAATGTGCGCAGAAATGTTAAGTTTTTGTTTTTATGGAAGCAGCTTACATAAGTTAACATTAAAGGGAAATGTTGTTGCACTGTTAACGTTGACACGACTTTAACAGTTGACGCTGCTTATGAAACTGTTAACATATTTGTTCTCTGTTAGCTTTGCTGTTAACTTGGAAAACACATAAAGCAGAGAGAGAGAGAGAGAGAGAGAGAGAGAGAAGAGCGAGCTTCTACATGTCATTAGTTAAGGTATTAGGATGACTGCTTAGCAACTAGATTCTGCTGCATATAAAACTTATTCGTAAGTTTCTTTATAAACAAGTTTTTTATGATTTAATACACTCGTCTTATTTATTCATACATATAATATTGAGCATCAATCAAGCTACTTAGCCGCTAGGTTTTTTTTAGCGGAATATAAAAAATTATTTGCTTAAGCACAAAGAGTTGGACCACATTTATCTGGATGTCAAGCTGTGGCTAACTGATTGACAGTTTGACTTGCCTGTTAATCACTTCACAGTTAGTTAACATAAGTTTTCATAACATTTTTATATGCAGCTAATTTACTGAAATTGAGTCAAGGCATAAATGTTATTTGGCATCCAAGAATCTAAGATTGATCTGTAGCATATATAAGATCAAGCAATAGAACTGTCAGCTACTGTTAGCTAAACACCTTTGCCTTAACTAGCCTTAACTCTTAAGTAAAATAAGATCAAGTCAAGCTACTCCAATTTTCAACCCTATAAAATTACCTTTCATTCCCGCACCTCTAGAAATCCGCCATGGAGATCATTCAGAACGATGGCAAGGTGCAGACAGAGCGTCTGGCAGGACGCGCTTTGGTCAAGGGACTCACGGGCAACGCAGGCTTCCAGCCGCACATTGAGGCAGAGGATGACAATCGTGCGCTGCCCAGCCTGATAATTGGCGAGCCGGAGAAGCAGCTACGCAGCGGCAACTACACGGGCATTCCACTCCTGACCGGAGTGACCAAGCACGAGACGGCCAACTCGGTGACTGTGGACACGCTGAACAAGGTCTACGGCTCGGCCGAGAAGTTCCTGGGCTCACTGCAAGGTGCACTGCAGCAGCTGACGGGCTTTTTGCGCATCGATGAGCTTACAGGTGGCATTGCGAAGCCCGTGTTACCTGGCTTAAGCAACGTGCTGACGCCCACGTTGCAGGATGTGTGGAAAGTGCCGCAGGCACTGAACGTGGATCAAGTGCTGGCCAAGGTGGTGGAGTCCACCACCGATGTGCTATTCAACCTGCCCGCCGTGCTCACGACACAGGTCTGGTCCAAGCTAGCACCTGCTTACATGTACAGCTTCGAGTACAACGGCACCAAGTCGAAGGGCATCAATTTTCTGCACGGTCTGCCCATCGTGGCGGAGCAGGCCAAGAGCAAGCCGGAGCTGGTGGCTCATGGCGATGAGCTGGGCTATATGTTCGATGCGAATGACATCTTTGGCGAGCCGCTGCCGGAGACGCGGCTCACCGACGAGGACGATCTGACGGTGCGCCGGAACTTAATTGATATGTTGCTGCAGTTTGCCAAGCAGCAGGATGGCCCGAAGGATAGTGCGGGCGGAACCACAGCGAAACTCTTTCAGAGCATCTCGGGCAAGGCCACGCCTTTTATCAAGGTCAACACCCAGCTGGAGGCTGCCAGTGATTTTCGCTTCTGCGAACTGTCCGTGCTGGGCGCCTCGCTGTCTCCCTTGACCTCCACGAGCTGCGCTGCCTTGGGCAGCGTGCTGGGCCAGCTGGGCGGCGGTCTAGGCCAGACGGTGGGCGGCGTGGGCAAGACAGTGGGCGGTGTCGGAAACACTCTGGGCCTGGGTGGCGTTGGCCAGTCACTTGGCCTCAATGGCAACAAAAACAATGAGAATAAACGTGGCGGCGGTCTGGGCCTGGGTTTGCTTTAAGTTCTTATTGCCATCTCGAATAAAGCCTGGTTGGTATTGATACAAGCTGCTGGTTGCTATGAGCCGACGCTCAATTAGCACAGCTCACACAGCTCGCTAATCTCTCTATTGACTTTGTGCCTCTGAATTCCACCGATAAGCAAATTTCCGGCCAGCCGACGCGCAAAATTTAAACAAAAAGCAAAGTTTTCAAAAACTTGTGGGCACATCCAAAGCATCCGCATTTGACGTTGGGTTGGGCAGAGAGCTGCCACGTCGCCAACTCAGAGCAAACAATGCGCATAAGCTGCCAGTGAAAGTTAGAAGAGGATGAGCAGCAGTTGCCACTGCCACTGCTGCTGGTTGCCTTGGCGTCTTTTGTGAACTATGGCCAAAAAGCTGAGCGTAAAGCCGGCTTACCTACGGACCAGACTCATTGTGGCTGCTCTTTCATGTGCCTCTTATTAATATTATTAAAACTAATTTCATAAATTGAAACCGCCTGGCATGCCATCCCATCCCACTGCCATATCACGTTCAGCGTGGGCGTGGCTGCAGGCGTTAATTCCTAGGCCCGTCGAGCTTAAGCGCTGACAAACGCCGAGGGGCCGCACGAAATGAAACTGGGATTTGGATTTGCTATTATAACAGCGCATAATAGATGTCTATGTAAGGGCAGGCAAACAGTCACGCGAGGGTATTTAAAGAACAGCTCGAGTTCAGTTACAGGCATTTTTTTTTCCGTTTTGCAATTTTTTGTAGCTATAAATATTTCTTAGAATTCAGTTGAGGCAGCAGCTTAAGCAACCTGAAATCACTTACTACACAAAAGCTTCAGTGACATGTGCTCCATGCTTTGGTAGCTATGAGATATAGCAAGCTGACTTGAAGCATTTTGTAGATACATTGGGCACATACGTTAGTACAAAGAGACATGTAATTGTTGTCGTAAATATCTATTTTTTTACATTACTTATTTTTATGATACTGATTTTTTTGTATTTATTTGAAGCTTAAGCTGCGATTAATAAGCTACAATAATGAATCTATTCAGCTAAATTTTGTTTTGCTTTTTTTTGCTGAAATTTATTTCTGCTTCTGTTAAGAACTTTGACAATTCCAATATGAAATGTTGTTTCCTAGTTGAAAGCATATTTTTTGTACAGTGAATACATGAGGAAATCTTGTTATTAATTTTATATTTATTGAAATTTTAAAAGTCATTGAATATATGAGGGAATCTGGTTAATAATTTAATATTAATTGATATTTTAATAGTCATAGACGCAACTCATTGTCTAGATAGTTTGTCTAGCGATTATCATATTTACTGCCAAAGGTGGTTTAGAACTTGGTTTTTATACACAATTTCTACTGCAGATATTTGTTTATATTAAAGATAGGTAATGTTTGAAGTATGTCTCTTTATAGCTACTTATTTTCAAGCAGAGGTTATTCCAAAAACTCTAAGGTGTGTTTGCTGCGCTTTTGTTTGTTTCTATATTGATTAAATTATTTGTGGAACAATTTATTTTTTGAGTAAAATATCTGAAAATTTCTGTAAGCTTAGATACTTTAAGTACTATTTGAGCTGCTAATTGTGGGCAGTTAATATATTCCAAACAGAAGAGTTATGTAGGCAGACATTCCACTTTCAACCACTAAAAATTCCTAAAAAAAACTATCTCAAAAACTATCTGAAATACTAAAGATTTTTTCATGCGCTCTCCGCGCATTTCAATTAGAAAACTTTCTTTTATATATAAATCATTATCAGAGCTGAGTTTGGTAGCTGCGACATCTGCGACAATTATTAATGGGCCGTTAGCAGGGATTAAAACAAAAAACTTTACAATTAATTAGTGTCCGGATGACAAATGATAATTATAATTGTAACCAAGTAGTTGGCTGGCAGAGCAGCAAGTAGCAGAGGCGTGGAAGATGCTGGCATAACTGCTTGAGCACTTTTAATGATGGTCATAAAAATGCAGAGAAAACTTTGAGCAGCGGCACAGAACGAGCCATAATAAATGATCAAGCAGACAATGATGGGGCGTAATCAAAGCAAGCTGTTATCCCCTGTGCCGCTGCTAAAACTTCCAATAGAATAGAACTACTGAAGGCGCAGGGCTAATCAGAGCCGGGGGCCGCTCATTCAGTTCATTATGAAGCTGTTTACCTGGACGATTCGCAATTGGCATAAATCACGTGCCCGTTTTATGGCCAAAGTGTCGCCCAATTTCCAGTGCAATTTACCTTGGGGTTCGTAGAAAGTTTCTGTTGCTGTTTAGTTTTCTGAATGGATCTGGAAAACCGAGGGGGCTTACGCAATTTTTCTTCATTAATGTGTAGTTACGCAATTTGCGCAAAAACTTTTCGAACGTTGCGTTAATTTTGGCCAATTCAGTAGTAGTCGAGCTGCTGATGAACCCCAGTTACAAAATACTCATTCCCCTCACTATAGCCCATATCCTGCCTCCTACTCGTACTCGTCCAACTCCTCGTCTTTGTTGTTATGTCGTTTTGTGGTTGCGGCTCGGCCTATTTCGAGTCTTTTGCCAAATTAGTTCCGCCCCTCGATTTATATTGTCATTTCGTGCGTTTCGATTGTGTAAAGCAATTTCATACTGGCGTACACTGCCGCCTCCTGCCTGCTGCCTGCTGCCAGCTTTTGCCTATTTGATTCGACTAGTAGCCCCCCTCAGCTGCTCCTGCCTTGCTGCTTTACTGTCATTTCATCAATTCTGGAGCAGAAGTTACGGCATTGCGGCGTGTTTTAGTCTGCGAGTAGATGTGTTTACCCATATGGAATGCGAGTACTCGAGTGCTCACACAGCCTCTATTTCCCCCTCTCTCTCTCTCTGTGTATGTGTGCAGCTAGGCACATAAATTAGGCTGGTCATTTGATGTTAATAGTTGCAGCAGCTGCTGCTTCTGGCCCTGTTTCGATTCATGTTGTTGATTTTACATGAACTTGTTTTCATGTTCTTTACGAAGTTGCCTCACTGTAAGGGTTCAAAGCTACGTATTAAATTGTCTTTGCCTTTATAAATTGGACTTGGAATTTTTCAAAATTTTCTTTAGTTTCTAATATAATCAATCATTGGTAATATATTTTTAACGTGTAAAATTAAAAGAAATATTTGCTAAAATATTTCAAATAATCAACAAAAATAATTATTTTTAATTTTATAAGTTTTTATATATTTAATATTGAAATGAATCAATCAAAAAATATTTATTAAAAATTGGAAGCATTTTCTACACATTTATTATTATTTAAAATTTGGCTTATAAATTGCAAATTTGTGGCTGATTGTGTTGCTGTCTGCAGATGTCAGCAGGGTATATTTTTGTTTTTTTTTTTTTTGTCAAATGCTAAACTTTATTTAAGATATTTAAAAATATTTAAAATAATTTTTTTGGTATTTTTTCATTGTTTTCATTTTGGCAGCTTAAAGGTAAGTTTTCTTATTACAAATTATTTGTCTAATTTTGAATCATGATATATTAATATATAGAATAAATTCCTTATGTACATGATATCACATTTTTCACATCTATATATTCTAAAAAAATTCTAAATGTCTGCTCTTTTCTAAATATTGTACATGTTTGTGACAAATATTATATTGCTTTTGCTTACATAAGAATTGCCAGCTTAAAACTTTATATTTATCAATTTGTAAACTTGAAGTTTACAATTTAAGACTCCATTTGCTAACAATTGAATTGTGTACAGGCCGAAACGTAATTAGTTCTATTCTAATTTTGACTATTTTCAATTTTGTGATCCACATGAGCTGGGCGGCAGTGTATGGACAACTACTTTTATGCTATTTATGAACAAAATTTTGAATGAAGGAAATAATCTGCTCAACATGATGCAGGCGAAGGCTCGATGCCAAACTCTACTAACAATAAAGCCCAGCAACAATTGGTCTAATCCAAATAATGGAATTTGGATGCCATGTGCCGGGCTGTCTATCAGTGGCATGCATATGCAATGGATAGGCCAGCCAGCCGACCAGTCAGCTGGGAGGGTGTCTGCATGGCTGTAGGGCAGGCGCGGAGCGGGGCGGACATCATGCTGCTGTCAGGCTCAATTTTGGGTAAAGCCACTTGGCCATTGTTCGAGTTTTGACATAAGCAAAAATCTGCTTTTGTATGGCCTCAATCCAATGGCTGAACGAGTGTGTGGGTGCGAGTGTGTGTGTTTGTGTGCGGGACAGGTCTCTTTTCTAATATGAAGTCCCGTTGGATTATGTCTTTGTTGTTGGTCTGCACTTGGCTACGCTTTGACAGCGTCAATTGCAGCCCCCATTGAACAGGGGCGGAGCTAAAGAACGGGGAGCAGCCGACGCGTGTTCTAGAACTCAGTGCTCGACTGAGCCGTGGGGCTATCAAGCTCTAATTAAAATTGATTATTATAATTAGTATTGATTGTAGCGTGGCACGCACACTGACCATGTCATAACTTGAGCCTGAGAACGAAATGTTAACGCTTCTGACCCCGCGCAATAGCTTAATAAATAGTTGATGTCTATTTGTGAGCAACACCTTTTGAGCCAATTGTCGCAGGCACTAATTAACCGCACGCAATTGCCCCCGAAATACCAAGTTTATCGATTCATTTTCCTAGCCACGCTTCGCCTGGCTGCCATCAAGTAGCCAATGACTTATTTATGGCGTTGATTGTGTCTGACATCTGCTGGAATTGACACATTTCGCAAAACCAACAAAGCCAACCGCTTTGACAGGTCGCATTCGCTGCCATGTTTCACTCTCTTTTGTTTTGCTTCCTAAAAAATTTATAAGTTGTTTTTCCCTTAAAGTTGTATGTCACCTTTGCTATGTCTGAGTAAAAGTAAGAAATATAAAAACAAACATTTCAAATTATTTGCTTTTTATTGACTATAAATAGAATTTCTAAAAGAAAACTTTTTTAAGTTTGTACAAAAAAAAACTTTTCAAGACTCTAAATAAAAACTTCAGATTTAATTAGAGTTTTCGATTTAAAAAACAAGAAAATGAAAAGCTCAAAAAAAAAACTTTAAAGGATAATTTAATTATTGATTCTATAAACTGTAAACTTTGGTTTGATTTGCGTTGACTCAATTAGGCAAGCCTTTAAGTTACAGTTGGGCAAAAATAACTTGAAAATAATTTTAAAAATTTTTCCATGTATCCAAGTC